CCATGAAAGCTGGGAGTCGGAAAACACTTCCAGTAGAGGAGCATACAAGCTACCCAATCAAACCATTAAGCATCAAATAAACAAAAATGCCAAACCTTTGACCAAACACAATAACCTGAGACTTTTTTATCCTTTCATTATTTAACCATTTCCCAAAGATAGCTTTGATCTTGACACTTGTCAAATAGCTATAATTTATTGAAGGATTAACAATGTAATTAATTCTTTGATATCCAATGAACTCTAGTTTTATGATTCGTCTCAATTATGAAACCGAGAAAGGGGAATTATTTTAAAAACTTTTGATCAAACATTTTTCAAAACTCTTCTAATTGATATTTTCAGATCTCGAAAATAAAAGAAGAAGAAAAATATTTTTTCAAACAAGACAATCTCTCTAGAGTGGATCTTGGTAAATGACATGCGGCTCTCAGACACAAAGCTCATGCTTAGAATCAATGCTAAAGTAAGAAGTGAGGAACAATGGGGGTATCTTTGAAGATTCAACATCAAATGTTGGGGCATTTTTGGAGATTTAACATCGAATATTGGGGCATCTTTGGGGATTCAACATCCTGATACGAATTATTTGATCTTCTAAAGGCATTTCCTCCACATGCAGGAATAGACAAACAAAGCACGAGACTCCACCAAGAGATAAAACAAGAGCTAATTCATATTGCATGCATCTTAGACATACTTAAGAACATCACATTCATCATTTTTTTTGCATACATGATTTTTCAGATTTCAGAGTCAATTTCAACTTCACAGCGAATGATATAGGACTCAACAAACGACTTTCAAGTTTCATTCAAAGTCAATTCCAACCTCACAGTGAAGGATATTGGACTCAACAAACAACTGTACAGTTTCATTCAGAGTCAATTTCAACTTCACAAGCAAGAATATTGGACTCAACAAACAACTGTCCAGTTTCATTCAGAGTCAATTTCAACTTCACAACGAATGATATTAGACTCAACAAACAACTTTTCAGTTTCATTCAGAGTCAATTTCAACTTCACATCGAAAGATATTGGACTCGAAACAATGCAACTTACACAAGCTTGGATTTCAACTTCACGACGAAGGATATCCAATTTAAAGCTCAACTTCACAACGAATGAGCCATCCACGATTTCAACTTCACGATGAAGGATATTGTGCCCACAAGTAGCAATGCAACTCTTGGATTTCAACTTCACAACGAAGGAGCCATCCACGATTTCAACTTCACGACGAAGGATATTGTGTCCACAAGCAGCAATTCAACCCTTGGATTTCATTTTCACGACGAAGGATATCTAATTCAAAGCTCAACTTCACAACGAATGAGCCATCCACGATTTCAACTTCACAACGAAGGATATCGTGCCTAATGGATTGACTTAAAGTCATCTACAACAATAGGGATTCATTCCCCACACAGTACATCATACCTCAAGGCGAGAAGGATTATCCGTCAACCAAGACCTTCGAGTTCGATAACACTCAGCTCAAAGACATATCAAATTTACAGTATAACTCAAGGCGAGAAGGGTTATTTGTCATCAAAGACCTTCGAGTTCAATTACATTCAGCTCAAGGGAAGGTCAAATTCACAGCATAACTTCAGTCGAGAAAAACTATCTGTCAACAAAAGTTGTCAGGTTCGATTTCATTCCATTCATCTCAATGACACATCAACCACATGGTAGCATCAAGAAACTACTTTCTGGTTGAAGTCGAGGTCTTTAAGTCAAAGAATAAGACCTGGGGAAATCTCTCAGCTTAGTACAACATAGCTCAAGGCGAGAAGAGTTATTTGTCAACAAACGTTGTCAAGTTCAATTCCATTCAACTCGATGACATATCAATCGCAACGTAGCAGCAAACAACTACTTTTCGGTCAAATTTTTCATACCCGTGTCTATAAATCAAGAAGAAGACCAAGGTCGACCGAGATTGTCAGCAAAGAGCCACTTTCCGATTCATTTACGATTTCGACTTCACGACAAAGGATATCGTACCCAAAACATTGACTCAATTTCACGACGAAAGAGTCATTTGTGACACAACAATGAAAAACCTATTTCATTCAGGTCGAATTTTAGCTTCACAACAAAGTATATTGGGTTAGAAGACAATCTAAGAGCTTCTTTCCCAATGTTTTGAGCTCGGTTTAACGTCACAACAAGGGTTATCGAACTCAAGAGGTCCACGATTTCAACTTCATGACGAAGGATATCATGCTCAAGATTTTACAGTTAATCTCAACTTTACAATGAAGAAGTCACCCACGATTTAAACTTCACGAAGAAGGATATCGTATCCAATGGATCGACTTAGTGTGACAATAATTTGTCATCCACAAACCAGATCTCCTCATCACGTAGGAGTCGTGTCAACCTTAGATAACCAGCCGTCCTTATCACGTAGGAATTGTGTTATCATCCCTAATGATTGCATGTCGTCCTCATCACGTAGGAACCGTGTTATCCACCGACCAGATCTCCTCATCAGGTAGGAGCTGTGTCAACATTAGATAATAAGTTGTCCTTATCACGTAGGAATCATGTTATCATCCCTAATAATGGTCTGACATCCTCATCACGTAGGAACTGTGTCATCCCTCGACCGACCGTCCTCATCACGTATGAACTGTGTCATCCCTCGACCAACCGTCCTCATCACGTAAGAATCGTGTCAACCCTTAGACGACCCGAACTCTTCATCACGTTTGAGCAGTGTCGTCCCCCAAAAACAAACACCATCAAATTTAAAGAAAAAAAGAATCAGACAAAAACTGGTTGTCTTTTTCGTCTTTGCCTTATTCTTGTTAACACAAGAGTGTGCAAAAAGGGGCAGCTGTAGACACCCGTTTTTGTCTGAGTCAAAAAAAATAATATTAAATATATTATGTTATTATTATTATTATTATTATTATTATTTGTTTTTACTTATAATAAGTGTTTACTTTTGCAGGCCACCTACCCCAAACCACACAAATCCACCAAAAGCAATCAAATACCCAAAAGTAAAAAAGAAACATAAATATGAGCCCACACCCCATTTGATATCAACCATAAATCAAGGGGATTCGGTGGAAAATAAAATCAAGCAAAAGGAAAAAAAAGAAAGGCAAGCAAGAAGACAGAAAAAATGGACAATGACATTCGGTGATGATTGAAAACAAAAGGAAAAGAATTATTTAAGGGGTTCTCGAACATAACAAAAAGGAGGGAGAAGAAAAAAAAGGAATTCGAATGAAAAAATGTAAAGGGATAGTTTGAATAAAAAAATGAGGCTATTGTTTTTTAGGTTCATTCGAACCAAGCAATGTAAAAAGGTATTTTTCTCCTAAAAATTATTCCAATGAAAATTGATATATCAACATATTTTTTTATTTCATTCGTTCCAGCAGCATATAATTATTATTATTATTTTCTTCTTTTCTATCCTATATGTTCGAAATAGAAAAAAATACAAGAGAAAAAGGTTTCTTACTTCCTGTCGGATTTTTACCGGCAATAGAGATCTCTGCGACGATCCGACACGATCAACATACTAAAAAACCAGGATGATTGGACGGCAGACGACAGTGGATCGGAGAAAAGAAAGTTGAATGGTTTTTGCCTTTTTACAACGAACGAAACCGATTCATACAAAACCAACCCTATATCCAATAAGGGGAGGTCAAGACGGACTGTCTGGTGAAATTTGGTGACCATCAGCTACCGGCGGCGGTGGCCGGCGACGACGGAGGTAACTCATTGGCAATTGACTGGTTTTCTAGAGAGAATTGAGACCTTCTCTCTAAAAATAATTTAAAAACAAATGAAATGAAAATAAAAAAAGTTTGTTATTTAGAAAACTTTAGGGGAAAATTGCACTTTAAATCCCCTAAGTTTGGCATGTTTTAAAATAATAGCTTGTAGGGACCGTTTTCATAGTTTACCCATTTTTGATGTATGTTATGTATTTTTTTATTTAATTTTTGTTTAGTCCTTGTACTTTTAGGCATGTTTTTCATTCCAGTACCTGAATCTATGTATTTTTTATTTATTTCATTTTTTGCACTTAGGAATAATTATTTTTAATTTAATCATTGATGTCATATCTCTTGTTTTATTTATTTCTGATTTTGACACTTAAGTTTATGTTTCTGCTATTTTAGTCCTTTAAGTTAATGTTTTCAAGATCTCATTTCGAGTAAAAGGATTTTCTTTTAAACGAGTAATTCAAATCAAGTCTCTAAATTTTAATTTTAATTTTCTCAATTAAGACAATCGATAAATTAAAATGGTACCGACAGGGCAGTTCAAGGGTGCTAATCATTCCTTGACTGTAACCGACTTCCGAACCCATTTTAATCGAATCTTTGGTAAACGCAGACAATTTTTTGTCTTAAAAATGATTTTTCTTAAAATTATTTTTAAAAGACGTTTTTAGGTATTCGACCTACCTAATCTAAAGACCGATGGCGACTCATTTTAATTTAATTCAAATTAATCCAAGATCACTAAATTTTCCAAATTAAAAGTCTTAACCGTTTTTTTAAACAATAAATAATTGTTCCACCAAAAAATGGTTATGACTGAAGAAAATCTCGAAGAACATTCAAGCAAGCGTAAGTGCACATGCTTTCCCATCTTTGAAGTCAGAATAGCATTGGCTACCTTACGTTATTCAATAAGGCCCACTTCCCCATCGTCCGTCCCCCTTGTCTCTTCTTGCATTCTTATGTTGTTTTAGTTGCTTTTAGTTCTAAGAAAGGAGTTAAAAGAGTGCAGCTGGTTAAAAATTAAATGTGATTGTTCCAAATACTTCTAAATGTGGAGATTAATTTGCTACGGTGTCAAAGATAATCAGTAGGTCCCAAAATTTTATTTGAAACATTTGAACTGATTGTTAGAATATAAGGTTTATGATGCTTTTTATTGCTCTTTGGTTCTGATTTCGGATTAATCTACTTGGTTTCTGGGGTTATATACCACCAATAGATCAAGTGAATTAATGTGTTACATTCCCTGATGCTGCTCATATTTTTGGAACAGATAGAAGATGCTCGAATGAATCTTTCTAACATTGAATATGACTTGGATGCTCTACAGAGAATGATTTCTGGTTTGGTGATAATTATTTTTAATTCCTTCTAGTACGTGTTGCAGTTTCTAAATGGTGCTGCAATTTCTCTTTTTCAGTTTCTACCCCCACCCACTTCTGACAATGTTAAACTTGTTAATGAAGTCAAGTGGTTCTTCTAGTAAGACAGAAGAGGAGCATCCTCCTTTTCATGTCTCTATTCTCCTCTTCTTAGCGAGAGTTAAAATCTCATACAAGCATTGATGAGACTTCAATTTCTATCTATTCATATACATGTATCTGAACTGTTCTGCTTCATTTTTTTTCTCTTCAAATTTGCTCACTTGCAGGATGGCAAAATTGGTTCATTGGAATATAAACAGGTATATAGATTTTTACAATTTCTTGCACTTTAGAATACGAAGTCAAATATGTAATTATGGTAGGAAAATGTGGTTGTAACTGTTAATGATATTTTTTGAATATTTGGATTCGGATTTCTGCTTTGCCCTGAGAAGGAATATGGTCTTTAGTTTTTCTTTACATCTCAGTGTGTTTCCTTTTTCTCGTCTTTGCTTGCATCTTTATTGGTTTATTCAAACTGATTTACCTATACAGTCTTTTTGTGGTAGGATCTTGCCAATGCTGGCGTGTGGTACCTTTGTAATATGGTTGGTGGCAAGAAAGTGAACATGCCTGAAGCTCTGCAGGTTGGTAACCTTTGAGTTTACAATCTTCAGTTCAAATACTAGATCATATCTAAAAGGGGAAGGGGAAAAAACAAGGGAGGGGGTGAAGTTTTTCATTGTCATATCCGTTTGGTTTTCCGTAGTGGATCATTTCTTTCAAAATCTGGTCTTAAATCCCTGCTAGTCTCTAAAAATGATTATGTGATCTGTGTTGCTGCACTAAAAGGGAACGATTATTTTATGAGTGTAATATTTTAGTCTGACTTTACATTTTCTTGTAGGAGCAACTTAAACTTTCCGGTAAATCTCGTGCTTTGCTTACATCAGGAACACCAACTCCAAAGGTATCTTTCTGTGTTTATGGAGTTCAAAACTGTGTTTTCTCTAGGCCAATACACATGCATCAATGTGTTATACTTCAATCTGTTGTGGTAAAAGACATAAAGAAAGATCTGGTTTGGTAAAATAAAGTGTGCATCGACCGAGGTATCAATATTATTTGTGTTTGGTAGCCTAAAGTTCAATGGGTCCACAAATCATGTGTTCATTGAGCTATAAATTTTCATTTATTTAATTGATTGTAATGCCTAATATTAATCTTGACTTGTTTATTTCAGGGTCTGAAAAACGTTGCAGATATTTTATCCGTAAGTAAGAAGTATTCAGGAAGAGACGGTATTGATAATTTGGATGAAGAGCCGAGAAGCCTGCAGAAGTTTGATTCATATTTTTTTGAAACCTTTACCCTATGCTCGAATAAATAAGGGAAAGGAGAAGTGAGCATCTACCCCTTGTTTGAGTAACATTTTTATTATTTAAGCAAGGGAAAGTAAAAGGAGTTGAATATCCCTTGGTTTCCCTTGAAACAGACTTTCTTATTTACCCCAATTTGGAGGAAAGCTAGGAAAAGAAAAAAGGAAATTTAAGATGTAAAATATATATTTTAATCATTTAAATCTTTTAATATAATTATTTTATAAAAAAGTAAATATAATTGGGAAAAGTCCTCTTTTCCTAACAAATTTCAATTATCCAAACAAAATAAAAATGAATCACTTACCTGATCTCTCTTTGTTATAATTGTTTATTCTAACATAGTGTTAAGTTTTGCATAATCAGCTCATCTAAAGTTTAACTTAGCGTGCCAAGTCCAGAACTTGTTTGTGGGACAATGTTTTTATGTAAATCCGATTGTCATTTTTACTTTGTTTTTTAGGTATAAGCTTCAATAAGGAAAGTGATGCATGAGAACTTAAGAACCTATGGACATTTGATGCGTTCTGATTACTGGGATTTTGATATTTTGCAGAAGCATTTCAGCTAGGAGCTGATGGCATCCTGTTCACAGTCAACATTTTGCTGTGTGGCAATTAAGAGAGATTACATATGCCTATGAACAATATAATCAACTTCTTTCTGCTATGGGCAAAAGAACTTATCTGAGAATATAAATTTTGTGGGGGTAAAGCCTACATTTCAGTTTGCGACATTTCTGTAGCTAGTTTGATTATCGTAGAGTATAAAATGTAATTTGCAGCATGTATTTCTTCAAATTGTTCGTCAGCATCGTAATACTAGTTTGCAATGAACACGTCCGACATTGATTCCATTGATTATGATGTGAGGTGGGGGGCATATCCAACCTTCACCATGAACTTTAACTTGGCACCATCGGAAGGCAACAAAATTTAAGAAATAAATTAACAATCACTCGAAACTAAGTTGAATCGCTAGCAACAGTTTAAAGCACAATCCAACAGCAATTATCTCGAAGCTAGATACAGTTTAGAACATTTTGGGAAAACACTAGGTAAACTAGAAAGGTCATCCTATGACAAAATTTCCAACTATCTGCTCCATTCGTAGTCTCCTCCGTATCTAGGATTGGCATTATTCACACGACTTGCTTCATCCAGTTTCGTTGAATTCGCGAAGGCATGCCATCCTAAAAGATATGGCAAAATATACTGCAGAGAAAAAAAATATGTTGTTCAAAGCAAGTTAGAAAACAGTCATGACACTAACAACTTATGGACTCATGTCCAAAGGGTTGATCATCCCTATTCACTTGTAAAAGAAATATTAAGGGGAAAGCCAAGTTTGGGGTGTGGGATACCATTTCCAAACAGTTCTCATTCAAACATGTCAACCCTTAGGAATTTATGTATGCTGCTGTGCAAGTAGTATTTGTTGAACAAAATTTGCCCGAGAAAAAAGAAGAAGATTCGATCCAAGATAGCATTTACTCGCAGCTATACATCTTATGACTTAAAAGTATGACATCATACATCCTAACACCATAGATAAAATGTTTAGAAAGAAGAAAAATAGAGAGCAGTGTATCATACGCTGAATGCTGATTTGAGGACAGTGAACTCTGCTCGCGTGACAGGAATATAAATGCTTTCGTCCATGTTTAGAAGTTTTTTTTGAACACCTTCAACAAAAGCCATTAAAATGTTAGGCCTCAATCTGTCACAGATTGATTATAATCACAAAGAGCATGAAATGGAAAAAGAGGAAAAAAGGGTGTTGGGGTGCATAAATATATGTTAATCTTTCCCATTCAGTGAGTTCTGGTTAGAAGATATATCAAAGTGGGTTTGATCCACCAACAACAGCATGGGCAGAAATTCCTCTAGCACATCATTGACATTACAGTACAATGAGACATATCCCAAGGCTAGAGTGATAAATGCATCAAACCTAAAACTGGAAAGGATCTACATGTGATGTATTAAAGAACTTTAATTCCTGGAAAGGATTCAAGTGAAGTGAGCATTACCAAGGTTAAAAAAGTGACCAGACCCATCAGGGAGTGGCTCCACCTTCAAGACCTTCCTAACCTTCCCCTCATCACTGAAAGTTAATACAATGTCATTAGAATTCATCTCAATTAAGAGCAAACGTGCATTTTCTGCAACATTTACACATGACAGCCCACTGCAAAATATATTTCACTACAAAAATAATCTAAACTGAATTTGATGTCGATAAGTACAGGAAGTAACTCAATCTTTACAGGCATATTATTAACAGTTAGCAACAACTATGGTTGTAGCTTCTTCCACCAAAAAGTTTATGCCTTTCCACGATTAATAGAAATAATGAATTAGAAGAATTTCTAGGCTTCAACTTACTTTAGGCAATGGTCCACAGACAAATATGGTATCCTTCATATAGAAACATTGCTCCCCCTATTGCAGAAAATTTTTCTATTGGAAAAATAATATCCATGGCTTGTCTTATGGAATCATTGATCCTCGATAAGCATCTACTTTTCATGTAGCACATGAACATATGAGAAACCGCAAAGCTGATATGGGACTGGGGATACAAAATATTTAAGCAGTTGCCAGGAATAGTTCAATTACCAATTTTAGCATTCGATATAGAGAGGGGTGTTTGCAGGTGGGGGGAGGGGAGGGGGAGGATTGTACCTTTTCCCTTTAAAAGGGTCATGGAAAAATTCACATGATTCCTTCGTGCCGAGGCTAATCAAAGTTCCAATTTCTGTAACCGATAACGAGAACACCTGGAGAGAAGCAAATCATCAATGGTTGCATATCATTTCTCTTGTATGTATTTACCACAAGGATTTGGCATTTGATTTACAGTATTCATCTGAATGTGGAGAACCAAATCATGAATTTCCAGACATTCAAATCTTTAAAGTGTTATAAACAAGATTTGGGACAAAAAAAAACCATTTGCTCCATCCTAGCATGTGAACCATGCATTTCTCCAAAGATTGGAAACACCGTTATCTAAAATGTCCAAGTTAATTTATCAAAAACAATTAAACTGAAAGCTAATTTAGCGAAAGATCACCTGCTTCCTGCCCCAATCATATTGTCTAACACCAGCTGCAGGTGCAAACTGTAGCAGTACAAACCCTTCCCTGGATATTTTAAATGCCCCTGACTGTACAAAACAAAGGATCACCATTTCCAACTATAACTACAGTTACAAAAATTTTAAAATAACCTAAAAAAGAGGAACTTCGAATGAAGCATACATCTAAAGGCACAAACTCAGGGGCCCTAGGTTCCACAGTAAGAGCAGCTTTCCCTTTGTAAATCGAATGACCCACGTAATACCTAGGCGGGGACCCTGCTGTGAAATAAAACACTTTAAACACTTGGGGGGGAAACCACTAAAAAGCGCTTTAAACACATTGTTTTCTTAAAACCTGAGGATGGAGGAGGTGAAGTAGACGAAGAGTTATTCAACTTCTGTTTCTGGTCGAAGTATTCAGATTGACGGCATTTTAGAGAAAACTTGGAGGGTTTGGAGGTAAAAGACAGGGTATTAAATTTAAAGGCGTGATTTTGAAGGGACTTGGGAGAAGAGAAAGAAGAGGAAAGCTTGGGGTTGGAGATGGTATTGAAATTTAAAGTTTGGGCAGAGACTGGAGGAGAATATAAGAATTGAAGTTGCAGCATTCTTTACTTTCTTGGATTTTTTCCCCCTTCAATTTCTCTCTTTCCCTAGACATCCCCAGCTATGTTATGACTACTTAAGCTTAAAGATTTCTCTTCTCAACATCTCACAAGAAAGCGGGTAAAAGTACTACAGAAGTCCTGCACTAAGTGGAAGATTATATTTTGGTCCTTTTAGTAAAGTAATCTTGTTCGTGTTTAGTAAATTGATATATCTATCTAAACTTAATGAAGGTGAACAAAAATTGACTTATTTTAAAAAAATTTCTTTTTAATTTTAACTGTTTGAATTATTTAAATTTATTCAAAAAATTTCTTAATTTAAATTTAAATTTATAAATTTTGAATAATTAAAAAACTTAATATTAAAATTATAAATTTTTTAACTAAATAATTTGATTGTTTTGTGATTTTGTCTCTCTTTATTTTTTTTTCTAATTTCTTCCTTGTTTTAAGTTTTATTGATTAAATTCAAACCACATGTTCTTCTACTAATGTAGAAAATATGCGTAATTTTAATTTTTATTTGACAATATTTTTTCTCTTTTTAATTTAATATTTAATTTTGTTTTTTATTTAATTTGATTCTTTAATATTTAACTCTTTATATATTATTTATTATTATTATTATTAATTTTTTGACTCCTCCAATACTCACATCAATACTTTATCTTTAAAATTGGTTTTAAAAAAATAATGTTATAAATATATTGTATACTTTAGATACTATTTAATTTATTAAATAACATTATAAGTTTCAGGTACACATGAGAAAAATAATATATATATATATATATATATATATATATATATATATATATATATATATAGTTGAAAAATCGTTTAAATTGTAAATTGATATCACAAATAATTATATTTAAAATTGAATAAAAATTCAAACAAATATGTTTGATTAAATTTAATTCGACTAAAAAATAATTTAAATAATAATTGAATGAAAAAAAATAATGCTCGTAAATTTAAATAACTTAAATTTTTTTATTAGACTTGATTCATTGTAGCTTCAGCTTGGAAACAAGTGTTAGGTTTTGCGTGAAAGTCATGTAGCCATCACATATTATCATAAACCATTTTCCTTTTACACATTTTCATTATTCTTGCATGAAAATGTGTAAAAGGAAAATGGTTTATGATAATATGCACCAACATCAGATTCTTGCATGATATGTATAGGAATTTTCTTCTACTTGTTTGTGCATATACCACAAATTATTTGTAATAATTTACGTCACGAGAACATGCAAATTTATTCAAAGCATGACATGTTCCTACGTTTATTGGAGGAAGCAAAATACGAAAAGCTTCAA